AGAGAGAGAGAGAGAGAGAGAGAGAGAGAGAGAGAGAGAGAGAGAGACACTAGCCCAAAGTCAACCAGCTGGTTTTGAACCAACTAGTTTCTAGGCAGGACTAGAACTCACAGTTTCTTGCCTTATAGCCTGGTGGAGTTGTCAACTATGTCAACTTTATAATCTGTGGACTTCACTTCCCAGTTTAGTTTAGTTTAGTTTATTGTCATCGCACCTTGTACAATGAAATCAAACATCATCTTCAGTGCACATCATGACCATGAAAATAAATACAGACACACATCCTTCACACTCTACACATTGAACCGAAAACCCCCAACACCGCACCAGCACTGCACTATACAGTAGAATTCAACAGAGCTACTGCCCTGGGATAGAAGCTGTTTTTCAGCCTGTTTGTCCTTGTTTTTATTGTCCTGTACCTGAGAATTCCTGAGCCAGCATGGCTCACAGGTCATAAAATTGCCATAGGTGCCCACTCCTGCATTAGACCGATTTGAGTCTCTCTTCCTTTTCAAAGGAAGAGTTGACTCAAAAGGTCTGCAGAACAAGTCTAAATACATGCCAGTTGCTAAATGTCCCAATTTTACTCATATGATTATAAGGATGATGTGTCATAAGTGTAAAAAAAATTATGTCACTTTTTTCAATGTTATTGTTAACGTTGAACAGCCATTAAATAGATGTTTGTAAGTCAAGGACTCCCTGTATAGCTTTCCTGGCTAAATGCAAATAACATTTGTGACTCATGCCAGCCTGTCTTTTCTCTTCCCCAGTTCCATGGTGCCTACCAGCTTGCCGATTGGTGCCTCCACCATATCTGCACCAACTACAACAATATCTGTCGCAAGTTTCCTCGGGAAATGAAAGCAATGTCAGCAGGTGGGTGTGTGAGTTTGTAAAATGATGGAGGCTGCTTTCCTTTTAGGCAAAGGAGTTGTGTAGATCGGGGGTGTCAAACTTGATTTCATTGAGGGTCACATCAGGGTTGTGTTTGGCCTCCGGGGGCAGGTAGGTGAGGCCAGGGTGGGCGTGGCAGCTTGAGGTCACTCATGTTGGGGGGGGCACCTGTGGTGGCCTGGGCAGGGCTGGAGGGATTGACCCACCCTCCTCATAATCTATCTTCCTTCCTTCCTTCCTTCCTTCCTTCCTTCCTTCCTTCCTTCCTTCCTTCTCTTTCCTTCCCCCTTCCTTCTCCTTTCTTCTTCCTTCCCTTCTTCCCTTCTTTTTTCCTCCCTTGCTCCCTTCCTGTCAGGTGTGGCTTCACCTTCAGCACCCTCCCCTCCCACAAGGCCCAATTATTCCCCCGCCCCCATTTCTATGGCAGCCAGAAAGAGTCAAGCAGAAGACAGAATCTTGGAGGTTGACACTTCCCTTCTTTCTTTCTTTTTCCCTCCCTTGCTCTCTTCCCATCTTCCCTTCTTTTTCTTTGTCTCTCCTCTTTCCCTTTCTCCTCCCCTGTCCCTTCTTGGATGCTCAAATGCAAACGGGGAAATATGTCTCGATGCCTCCTTGCCTTGAGATCCAATGCCACTTTTGCTAGACGTTTGTTTTGGTAGGACTCTGCCAGTGAAAACTGAGCCTGGGAGGGCCATGCATGGCCCGTGCGGGCTCTGTTTTTGGCCACGACGGCCTCCTGCAACCCTCTGCCAGCGAAAACAGAGCTCCACTTTTGCTGGCAGAAGGGGACCATGGACCAGTCCTTCTCCATTTCCAGATCTAAGCACCCTGTGGACCAGATCCAGCCCACAGGCCTTGAGTTTGACACCCCTGGTGTAGATCATCAAGATGACTCTACCATTTTTTGCAAGATTTTTGGGGCCATTCTCGTCGTCTCTGCAGCTGCTTGCTGCACCTGATCTTTATCCCTTTTGAAATCCAGAGGAAAATAATAATAATAATCTCAAAAAAGGACAATCTGAGAAGTTACGGCTGCTTCTCAGCCACCTGTCAATTAAAGAACTGGATTCTTCCCTTCTTGATTCTCTGAGCTGCTCCCCATCTTTGCTCTTAACATCAATTTATGTCTCCAAAAGTCAAATGCAGTTCTTGGGCTGGCTAAACTGGCTACCCCTATTTTAAGTTTCCTTTCCACGATTGCATTTCGCAAATATGCAACGCTTTGCTCGTAGCCTATGGAATATGTAGGTGGGCATGCAAGACACGCATGGGATATATCACTACATGGTTGGTTTTATTTTAATTTGCAAACTGCCGTGGGGCGGTCTTTTTTATATTGCAACCGGCTGTAAACAAAAAGAAAAAAGAAAACATTTGTATGAGTATTTTAGAAACAAGAAGCAGAAGAACTCAAAACATCGGGCTGAGGTTCTTAATTTCTCTTCATTTTTCCCTGCAGAAAATCAGGATTATTTTGAGAAGCATCGGTGGCCCCCCGTTTGGTACCTCAAGGAAGAGGATCACTTCCAGAGAGCCAGGAAAGAGCGCGAGAAGGAAGACTACCTCCATCAGAAAAGGCAGCCGAAGAGACGGTGGCTCTTCTGGAATGCCTCTTCCCCTTCCTCATCGGCAGCCACAGCTTCCTCCTCCTCTTCCTCCTCCTCCTCTTCCTCTGCTGTGGTTTGAGGGCTGCACTGCCTATCTGCTTCGATGGCTGTGAGAAGGAGGGAGCCGACTGGCGCCTGGCATCCCCAAGGCGTGGCGAGAGGCCACAGGCCGAGGCCTTTCAGCGGAGAAAATCAAGCATGAATATCCCTGAGAGGCTGATGAGGAAAAACCTCCGAAGGAGAGCAACTCAGGAGCCAGAATTATCCAACCATCTCATCCAGAGCTCTGGGTGGCCTCCCTTCCTGCCTTGGCTAAGTCTAGAAGCACAGCAGTTGGAGGCCACCAACCAGTGGAACGGAAAGCGGCTCCGTTTTCTTTCCAAGAGGCTCAACTCATCTCGCGGGACTGCACCTCCCTTTTGCAGAAATGCTGGAGGGGGCGAACGTTTTGGTTTTTTTTTTTTAATTATATATATATATGGGGGGAAAACAATTACTCCAAGAAAGATGGAGCCCTTCTGTGTTATTTTTTTTTTAATTTTCCCCTTTTCAAAAGAAAAAAGAAAAAGTTTTCTTAAAAATAGAAAAGTATTACGTATCTCACATCGACCATCCTCTGCACCTTATACATTTCAAGCTGCTACAGATGCTGCGTGACCCAGGACTTTTGTTTTGTTTTTTTTCCTTCTGGGTTTCCTTCCCGATGGTCAAAGGGCCACTTCATTTTGGTTGCACTTAATGACTACCCAGGCACTTATCTCTAGATGTTTTGCTTTGAGCAAGGCATGTATCCTGACAGCAAACAGCTGGGGTCTCTCTGCTCCTGAAAAGCAGACACCCCTATGGAGGAGACAATGGCTAAGAGAAGCAGAGACCCTCCCATGGGGGTTCAAGGGCAAGGGGGGGGAGGAAATGACCCTAGAATAGGGGAAAAAAAACCCAGCTTGGCAAGGCTGGGAAGCTGCTGCTCCCTCCCCCACTTTCCCCCCTTAATTTTGCAACACAATCTACAAGCCTGATCAAACATGGCGGATTAGGAGAAAAATAGGAGGAAGAGAATTGCCCGCCATAATGCTTGAGGATGCACTGTGTACAAGAGAGTATAACCCACCCCCTCACACACACACACACACACACAGACCCCAGCAGTTAATGTGCTGTTTTAATGAAAATGAAACACCAACCAATACACATCTTGGATTTTAGTGTGGAAGGTTCTGTTGTAATAAATGGTATTTTAAAAGAGACAGTTGTGAACTCGTCTTTGGCTTGGAAGCGGGGAAAGAAGACAGGGTGGCAATCCAGAGCGGTGAATTGTACTTCTGAATCAGAGGTTTTCAAACTTGACAGCTTTATGACTTGTGGACTTCAACTCCCAGAATTCCTCCTCCAGTCACATTAGCTCAGGAATTCTATTTATTTTATTGATTTGTTTTGTCAAAAGCTTACAATACAATAGGGACAAGAATAAACATAAGTTTAAATATAAGAAATAGGAACTAATAATTGGGGACAATAGGACAGGGACGGTAGGCACGATCGTGTGCTTATGCACGACCCTTACTGACCTCTTAGGAATGGGGTGATGTCGATAGAGGTTAGTTTGAGGGTAAAGGAGTTGGGGTTTGAGCAGGTGACAACAGAATCAGGTAGTGAGCTCCAGATGTTGACCACTCTGTTGCTGAAATTGTACTTCCTGCAATCAAGCTTGGAGTGGTTTACATTTAGTTTATATCTGTTGTGTGCTCTTGTGTTGTTGAGGTTAAAGCTGAAATATTCATTAACTGGTAAGACGTAATATATTATTTTATGTACTATGCTTAAGTCCAATCTTAGCCGGCATAGTTCAAGGTTGTTTAGGCCTAGAATATCAAGCCTGGTGGTGTAGGGTATTCTGTTGCGAACAGAGGAATGTAGTACTCTTCTGGTAAAATACTTCTGGACTTGCTCAATTGTATTGATGTCTGATATACAGTGTGGATTCCAGACAGCGAAGCTGTATTCAAGTATTGCTCTAGCAAAGGTTGTGAATGCTTTAGTTTGTAAATCAGTATTACCAGAGGAGGAGCTTCGTAATATTAAATTTACAACTCTTGAAGCCTTTTTGGCAATACTGTTGCAGTGAGCTTTGCGCTTAGGTTATGCAATATGAGAACACCGAGGTCCTTGACAGAGTGAGGGTCATCAACAAGGTCATATCCGCCTAGCTTGTATTTGGTATATAGATTTTTTTTTGCCAATGTGTAGGATTCTGGGAGTTGAAGTCCACTTGCCAAGTTTGAAGACCCTTGTTCTAAATAGTAGCGATAGCATTTAGGCTTATATACCACCCATACTGCTTTACAACATCAGCCTATTTCCCACAACAACCTGGGTCCTCATTTTACTGACCTCAGAAGGATGGAAGTCTGAGTCAACCTTGAGCCAGTCAGGATCAAACTCTTGACAGTGAGCAGAGTTAGCTTGCAATACTGGATTCTAACCACTGCACCACCAGGGCTTCTAACTGTTCTTCAGATAATTAAAGCTTTAGTGTTGTGAGCTTTACCTACAATAGCTTTGCTAAAATAGAAGTCAGAAGACATGTTCTAGTACCCCAAGTATTGCCTCGGAAGGAAAAAGAAAACAACACAATGTGTTTGATTCTATTAATTTAGTTTACTTTATTGTCATTGCACCTTCTACAACAAAATTAAATGCCATCTTCAGTGTACATTATAACTATATAAATAAATCACAAACACACGTCCTTCGCATTCTATACCAGTGGTCACCAACCAGTGGGCCGCAGACCACTGGTGGTCCATGAGAAAATTTTGGTAGTCCGCAGAGAAATGTCACTCCCGAAACACCCTCCAAAGCAATTAATCCAGGCTGCGTGGGAACACAAGGCTGTGCCGCCCACATGGCCCGTGGGAACACAAGGCTTGCGTCGCTTGCATTACAAACAACACAAGGTGGTGAGGGAAGGGGGGAAAGGGCGGAGGGGGGAATTTGTCCCACTCACCCCACGCACCTGGCCTGGCCACCAGGCTGCTTCTTTCTGCTTTTTTCTTCTGCTTTTGGCTGCATGCAAGGAAAGCAGCAAAATTATGTATTTTTCTCCCCCAAACTCTGCCAGAAATGAGTCTTTGGGACCCTGCAAGGCCTCCTGCTCCAAGAGGCTGCGCCGGCCCGACAAGTCTGACAAAGACTCATTTCTAGGGGAGTTTGGGGGAGAGAAAGAAAGACTTCTGCTGCTTCTGCTGCTTTCCTTGCATGAAGCCAAAAGTCTCTCTCTTTCTCTCTCCCCTCTCTCTCTCCCAGGGAACGGAGCTGGAGACAGTATCCTACAATCCCAAATAAAGAATGATTGATTGGTAGGAAAATTGGGGTGGGGAATTTTCCTGCAGTCTTTTGGGGGGATTTTCCCAGGGTCTCTGGTCCACGGGATTTAAAATTATGAGTTTGGTAGTACCTGAGGTCCAAAAGGTTGGCGACCTCTGATCTATTGAATTGACCCTTGTACAATTGAATTGAAAACCCCTGATATTGCATTAATATTGCACTATATAGTAGGATTCAATATAGCTATTGCCCTGAGATAGAAGCTGTTTTTCAGCCTATTTGTCCTTGTTTTTAGGGTCAAACTAGACTCTGGGCAGAGTTTGCCTGCAATATGTCACTTTAGCCACTGCGCCACCAGGGCTTTAGGCTCCACCAACCTAGCTGCAAATCATACTCCTTGTAGTTATTGAAAGTTAACAATAGCTGCAAAGAGGCTGTGTGAGTCACCTGCATTGGAACTTGAATTTCTTTGGGGATCCTCACGGGACTCAAGAATAAACTCTGATATTGGCATAAAAAATTCCCGGTACTAATTATTTTATTTAACCGACTTGCACTTACAAAAGCAAGTTTGAAAATGTGCAGCCTTACTAGAGTTTCGGGTATTCTGGATTAGGATACGGAATGTATAGAGTGTACAGATTAACAGAGTTGTAAGGGACCTTGTAGGTCATCTATTCTACCACCACCCAGCCAAGCAGAAGAACCTACACCATTTCTGACAGATGGCAGTCCAGTCTCTTCTTGAAAGCCTCTAGTGATGAAGCTCCCACAACTTCCAAAGGCAGCTTCTGTTCCATTGGTTGATTGTTCTGTCAGAAAATTTCTCCTTATTTCCAGGTTGAATCTCTTCTTGTTTAGTTTCCATCCATTATTCTTTGTCTGGCCTTCACCACAGACAATACTGCTACCCTCCAAAAAGACCTTGACTATGTATCAGAATGGTCAAACAAATGGCAACTTCATATCTCAACAAATAAATGCTCTGTCTTATGTACTGGCAAAACAAACAAACAAACCAGAAAATAAAATACAGGCTGAATAGTCAGGACCTTGTTGATCCAAACTCTGTCAAGGATCTTGGAGTACTCACTTCTAATGACCTAAGTACTAGAGCCCACTGTAACTACATAGCCAAAAAGGCGTTAAGAGTTGTTAACCTAATCTTACGTAGCTTTTTCTCTGGTAATATTACACTACTAACTACAGCATACAAAACATTTGCTAGACCAATATTCCAATACAGCTCATCAGTCTGGAACCCACATTACGCATCTGATATTAACACAGTTGAGAAAGTCCAGAAATATTTCACAAGAAGAGTTCTCCACTCCTCTGCTCGTTGTAGATTACCTTATGCCACCAGACTCAAAATTCTAGACCTAGAAAACCTAGAACTACACCACCTTTGATCCGATCTAAGTATAGTATATAAAATCATACATTGCAATGTATACTTCAGCTTCAACCGTAACAACACTAGAGCAAACAATAGATACAAACTCAAGGTTAATCGCACCAAACTTGATTGCAGGAAATACGACTTCAGCAAGATATGGGATGTGGTCAATGTCTGGAATACTCTACCTGACTCTGTGGTTTCTTCCCCAAACCCCAAAAACTTTAACCTTAAATTGTCTACTATTGACCTCACCTCTTTCCTAAGAGGTCTGTAGGGGGCGTGCATAAGTGCACCAATGTGCCTACTGTCCCTTATATGTATCCATGTATTCATAACTATGTTTTTACTTATACCTACTATCTTGTAAACAATTGACAAATAAAAATAAATAAATAAATAAATGTGCTTTGGACAATAGCTTGACCACTTCCTCCTCTCTGTGGCAGCTCCCCAAATATTGGAAGAGCGCTATCATGCCTCCACTGGTCCTTCCCTTTCACTAGACTAGCCATGCCCAGTTCCTGCAACCATTGATCGTATGTTCTAGGCTATTTCTCCAACTGGTACAAGTAGTGCTTGAGTTATGGCCAAAGTTGAGTCCAGAATTTTCATTGCTAAGAAAGGCGATTCTCACATCAGTCCAACTCAATGTTGCCACCTTTTTTGTTGCAATTGTAAACGGCTGTTAAGAGAACCCAACCTTTCCCACTTACCTGGCTTGTCAGTAGCCCCCTGGGAAGGTTGC